CATGAACTTGGCATAACATGGCTGCCCAAGATGGCGTGGTAGGACCCTAGAAAGTCCACCACCTCGAAGGTCAGGACCTCCGAGCGAAAGTTGGCTTGATCACCAAACGTGACGGGCAAGTCAATCTATCCGAGTGGGTACGCCTATGTCCCTAGAATCATGCCACGGAAGGGAGAGCTCACTAGGCGAAGCTTCGACCGGGGGATGCGCATGGCATCGAGGGTGTCGACGTAGAGAATGTTGAGGCCGCTGCCTCCATCCATCAACACCTTGTTGAGGCGCTTCTTGCGGACGATGGGGTCGACGACAAGCGGGTAGCGACCCGGTCTGGCGACGTGGGAAGGATGGGCTCTCTGATCAAAAGTGATCGGGGAGTCCGACCAGCTAAGGAAAGAGGGGATGGCTGACTCAGCAGCGCATGCCTCTCTGTAGCGTACCTTGTGTTGGCGCTTGGAGTGGATGGCGTCGGATCGCCCAAAGATCATGAGGCATTCCTCGGGGTTGAGGAAGCCGTCATCATCCTTGCTCGCCATGCCTCCTTTCTTGGCCGCCTCTTCCTTGCCTTTCCCTTCCTTTGGCTTGGCCGTTTGCCGCAGGAAGCGCTTGAGGAGCTCGCAGTCCTTGTAGAGGTGTTTAACGGGATAGGCGTGGTTGGTGCATGGACTCCCCATGATCTTGTCGAAGTGGTTGGGTTGGCCCTGCTGGGGCTGCTTGCCCGCTCGGTCAGTCGCAGCGACCAAAGCTGGGTTGGACGGTCGACACCGATCCTTCTTGTTCTTCTTGCCCCTTTGTGTGGAGGGGCACTCGCCTTGGTCTTCGTGCTTGGCCTTGCCCTTGTCCTGACCGCCACTGAAGACCACCCCAACCACTTCTTCGTTGGAGACATGGTTCGTGGTGATGTCGAGTAGGTCATGGGTGGTACGGGGCTTCACATAGCTGAGCTTGTGGATCAAGGACTCGTAGGTTGTCCTAGAGAGGAACGTGCTGATGACGTCCGCATCGACGACATTAGGGAGGGAGTTGCACTGCTTTGAGAACCTACGGATGTAATCCCGCAGGGACTCGTTGGGCTCCTGCTAGTAGCTCTTGAGGTCCTAGGAATTCTCAGGATAGACATACGTCCTCTGGAAATTTCCGACGAAGACTCTCTTAAGATCCGCCTAATCACGGATGCTGTCGGGCAAAAGGAATTCGAGCCATGCTCGAACATGCTCCCCCACGTAGATGGGGAGGTACTGGATGATGAAGTAGTCATCATCCACTCCTTCGGCTCGGCAGGTGAGCCGGAAGTCTTCGAGCCATATACTGGGGTTCGTCTCCCTGATGTACCTAGCAATGTTGGTGGGTGGTCGGAAACGTTGTGGGAACAATGCTTTCTGGATGCGACGACCAAAGGCTCATGGCCCCGGGCCATCCGAGTTGGGGCTCCAGTCGTTTGGTCAGCCACCATGCCGCCTACTCTTACCGCCACTCGATAGATGTCATCATCACGCAAGGTGTGGCATCAATTGTTGATGACGCTACGAGCATCACATTTCGGTCTAAGCCATTCACGCACAGGTGGTCGGTGTGGAGCGGGCGTTGGGTCAGGCTACGGTGCAGCTGTGGCTTCCTACCCCACGCCAGGCAACTGCAGTGGCAAGTGGACGGAGCGATTTGATAGGTGCGGCGGTCTCCACTAGCGCCCAGAGGTTCGAGTGGATTGGCGTGGAGCTCTCCGCTTGCTGAACGACGGCGGTCTCCACTAGCGCTCAGAGGTTTCGGTGGATTGCCTGTTCCTGGGGGTCGGCAGGCTTGGGGAGGCTGCACAGAAGCATCGCCACATCAGCGATGTTCTGGCCAGCCCGAGCAAACTAAGGGGGTCATTCCCTCCATCCAGGATGTTACGCTGGACCTGATGGGCATGACCCCGAGTATCGCTCATCAGGTTACACGCATGTGGCGCAGCGTGCTATATCGAGCGCGCCAACGCAGGTGGCGGCTGGGTCTACCGCCTTTGTCGTAACTCCTCACCATGCTCCTACGCACGTGCCAGGGCCTTCGCATGGGGGTCCATAGGGTTGTGAGTCTGCAGAGACTCCACTACCACCGGTGGTTGTCCTAGGGCATCTGCCATAGCATACTCCTAGGACAAAGGGTGGCCAGGTGCCATGATGTTGCCGATACTAGAGCCATCGCTTTCGACCTCGTCGTCAATGAGGTTGTGGAAGGAGGCAGGAGCGTAGCCCACCATCCCCATGAACTCGGACGTGAGAGGGGATGGCATCAGCATCCTTCGAAGCCCTCGCGGGGATGCATCCATGGGGGATGCAAAAGCCGTAGGGGAACCGATCGCATGGCGGTCGTGATGGGGACAATGGGGTCCCTCCGGAGAGTCGACAGAAGGTGTTAAATAGTGAGTAAGGAACAATATGTATATGACTCACCGTGGGGTTTGAGCCCAGCATGGGCTTGAGGTGAAGCGTGAGTGTCTCGACGTTGGGGTCATCGAGTGGCCCAGGGCTGGTGGAGAGCGCTCCTCCTCCAGTGGACATCAGGATGAGCGCCTCCTTATGGAGGCGGAGTATGCCGAGTTGATCGGCGACGAAGTCCAAACTCCCAAAGAGGAAGGTCTGGAGTGGCACGAAGACGGGAGGAACTCACATCCCAACAGGTGGGAGCGTGGGAAACTCCAGTGAGCCGAAGCGAATCGTATCGCTTGAGCCCACCATGCCGAAGATGGTGGAAAGGTGTGCCATTCGATGACCAAAAGCGTGAATGCACGACGTCTTCCCCACGGACGGCGCCAACTGCCGGTGCGAAATTTGACCAACAAGTAAATATTTATAGTTTTATCGTGCGTTGTGATCGGATGTGGCCTAGCACTCAATGACACATGATTTATACTGGTTCAGGCAACATGGCCTACATCCAGTTTCAGTCGGTCGGTGACTTTATTCCTGAGCCCAGGTGCTCAAAGTTTATTGTGGGGTTACAAACGAGTGAGGAATGAGAAGGGGGTGTTAGAGGCCCGGTCGGACTCTGAGCCGAATGGACGAGAGTGACGGGTGCTCTAACGTGCGCTAAGTATTGGAGCGTATGCTCTATATAGCTATCGAGTTCTAGAGCTGTTGAACTATTCGAGTCCTCAGGTCGTCGAGTCCTCGAGTCGTCTAGCCTCTTTTTTCTCGAGAGAGCTTTGGCTTCTAGGAGAGAGCTCACCCCCTTTTATAGTTAAAGGGGATGGCCTTACAAGTCAGAAAGAGAAAGAGAGCGTATACATGTGCTATCTAGTCTTGTTGCACACACTATCGGGTATGAGACGGTTATTGGCACCCACAATACTGTTTATGTTCAGACGTATCTGTCAGTCTCTACCATGTTCGTCTGGTACGGCAAACGTCGGCGCCTACAATACTGTTTGTGCTCTGACGCGTCTAGAAGGTTATATAGTGCCCGTCTTGCATGGGCTGGTGGCACCATCCTGCAGGTGCGTAGGGCATGGCATGGTACGATTCTCGGTATTACGGTTGACTTGAGTGTCTTACCTTATCTGCTCCGCCTGATTCCTGGGCCCTCACCGAGCGGGCGTCCACGGTCAGTCGTTCCTAGTCGGTCCCGATCGTGTTGGTCGGAAAAGATCAGCGAGCAGAGGTCTGGCGTATCCTCGGTCGAAGAAAGAGGTCGGAGCCGGACTACGGTCCCACCTTGGCCAAGACTTCTGATCGGGGACCTGATCGTTGTCTCGGCCTGTCATTATGTATCTGGACAGGCCTAGGTGCGCGTTGTCGCTGCGCCGTCTGTTGGGTCAGATTTTTACAGGGAAGCAGGTCCATTGGGGACCTCGGGTTTATGAACCCGACAACATTATAATATCCATGACAATATAGAAAACATGAATAACAAGAGTTATAACATATATAGAAATAGATAAATAACATAACATAAATAGAAGCAAAACATAATAAAATATAGAACAAAGCATAAGGAAACACAAAAGGAATAAAAATAAAAAACCACGTAATAGTAGAAAATTAAAAGAACACATGAATACTAATTAAATAAATAAATTATATTATAGAACATCATGTGTACTGAGTGAATATCACATATATATACTATATGGCCCTCACAAAATACATCATATAACGTCACATGTATACTACATGAATATATCACAAAAATATCAAACATCACATTATAATATGAACATCACTTATATCACATGAAATTTATAAAATAAGAAAATAAAAAATGAATTATTAAACTAATGAATTAAATAAAATAAATAAAGAAGAAAATAAACAAAACATGAATAACATATGCTAAGTATATAAAAAATGAATAACTTAAATAAGGAAGAGAAAAAGAAAATTGAAAAATTTCACATGTATACCACACGATCATGATATGTATCTCATGTAACATATGAAATGAAAAAAAAACTTTTAAAAACATAAAACATGAAAATGATTAAATAAAAATTAGAGTAAAATAAAAATAGAAAATGAAACAAAGTGTACATTAACAGATAAGAAAGTAAATCATATACTCTTATAAAGCAAAACCCCACTAGTAATTTTTCTTGACATGCAAGGTGTCCACCTTAGCACTCCAAGATGTCCACCTCAGCAGTCCACTATCACTTACAATTAAAGTTCACTAGCACAAGCAATTATGATATCCACGTCAGCGAGATACATCATCCGCTAACATACATTTAGTTGTCCACATCAGCATGCCGCACTATCCACTAACTTTAGTTTATAATAGTTAATCTCTTCCTAAGAATTGTATGAATAGTTAAATTTCATTCAAAATCAGTAGTTCCCGCAGCAACGGCGGGGTGTTCTTCTAGTAGAAGAAAAGAAAGAGGAAAAAAGAATAAGGAAAAAAATAGAAAAGAAAAGAATAAGGAAAATAAAATAAAATAAAAGAAAAGTAAAAATAGAAAAGAAAATTACTCATGCGGCGCAGCTCAGGTTAACCAAAATACCCGAAATAACCGAACTTACAGGCCCATGAGGATACAGCCCAGCCCAACATTGGTAAACCCTATCCCGCACTCCCATCGCCGCCGCCCCCACTACCTCCCCGTGGCGCGCCGCCCCCACTCAAGCCGGAAGTCCCCGCCCCTATCCCGACGCCCTACTCCCCTCTACCGAACGGTGCGAGGCGAGGCGCTCTCGGTGGCGGCGCATCGCGCGGGAGGTGAGGCACTCTCGGCGGCGGCGCATCGCTTTTGTTTCGCGCGACTGTGCCCTGTTCCAAAAAACAACAGAAAGCCTTTTGTTCCGCACGACTGTGCGCTGTTCCGAGAAACAACAGAAAGCCTCTGTGATTTTCAGGTATGGCTTTGGATCTTGTTTTCTTCCCGTTAGTCTTTCGTGATTTGTGTGGCCGGCAACTACAGATTACATATAGTAATTAGAGATGTGACATTCTTTTTGACAAGTAGGAGCAGATCGATGGATGTGTCCTTTATGTAGGAGTAGTATTCTGGATGGTCGGGGTTTGAAATATGAACTGAACTATGCTGTGTGTTGTTCACCTCAGTGCCAGTAGATGACTACTATTTCACCTTCTAGCTAATTCCAGTCTCTGATGATACTGATGAGATCTGTCTACTCATTTACAATAGGGGTTTGGGGTATTGCGTTTACAGTTTCCATACTAGTCTGGGATGCTTCTGATGTTTCATCTGCAATCGTTCTGTCTCCATTTGCGCATTTATTTGTTTATTATTTCCTTTGCAAAAGTAGCTTACAATAATTTTTGCATCATTTTTCTTCATTATGTATCTGAATATTCTGAAAGCTTACAGTAAAGTGTTCTAGCAGTTTTCCCTAGATTTTTAGTACTGTTCACAATGTTATTAAATCGTTCGACTAATCGTGATTAGTTGGCCTTATCGGTCCCCCAGCTCCGATTATGGTCACCAATTCGATTAGTAGCTCTCATAAAGATTGTTCAGACAACAAAAATGGCAGCTCTAAGCCTATAACCCCTATGGCTCAAACTGCTTTTTAGTGACACATATACAGCAGAAAAGCAATTTAGGCATTTATATGTTGACATGCTATCTTGACAATCCAACAAATCATCTACAGAAATGGAATCCATCAAACTGTCTACAGAGTTGCAATTGATATTTTTTTCCATCACTTACCTCATCATGTTTGTAATCATTAAAAGTACTTTTTTTCGGGCTAATTGCTACTCATGTTGTTATGTCATTACATATAGCAAGTGGAATAGAAGTCAAATCAGGGAGCATTATGTCAGTATATTGTTTACATGAATGGAATTTAAACATGATTCTTTGGCTGAGTTGCATTATGTAGTATGGTCCTGTTTGGAACTGCTTTTTACCAAAAAGGAGAAACAGTGGAGCAGCCAAATGAAACTTCTAGGCAGCTTCCTGGCAAAGCGCTTCCCACAAAACAACAGTGAGCCGGTTTCCTTATTTAGCAGCTTGTGAGGAGCTTATCTCGGCCTTCTCTCGCCGTCCTCGAGCGCCTCCTCACCCCGAGTGCCTCCTAGTAGCCTGCCTCCATTGTGACGAGTTCCTCCTGCTGAGTGTCCTCTCCGTCGATGAGTGCTGCCCCACACCGCCGGCTGCCTCCTCGTTGATTGCCTCTCACCGAGTGCCATCCCACCGACGAGCGCCTTTGGATCAATGTGTTGCCCTCGACCACCACGTGAGTCGTGAGCCGCCCCACATCTACGCACACCCTTGGCCTTTGCCTCCCAGTCGCTGGTCGGCCGGTTCCACTAAGCAGGAGGAGCCCTGCTGCTTGCTCTCTCTTCTAGATTGGAAGAAGCTGGAAAAATAAAGCCACACACAAAACGCGCCGCTTTTTATGCTTCTCCAAAAAGAAGCTTTTGTGGACAGCTAGCAATAAGATAGCTTTCTATAAGTTTAAGCCATTCAAAATAGGGCCTATATATTTAGTGTTTTAGATGTCAGGTTAGCTTGCACATCATTTCATCATATTTGAAACTTATTGAACTGTTTGGGAAGGTGTTTGTCCACACCCAGGGTTTGTCAGTGTTGTGCGAACATGATATTATTTTTGCAGCTAGATGGAACTTATTATCTGATGCATTATGTTAAGCAATATATTTTTCCTTGATTCATGATTAAATTTTGTTTGGTTATTGACACCAGATGAAGATTTTAAAAAATCTGTGTTTATTTTGGCTTAATATAGATGCATGTTCCATGCCATTTGGTCCAAAACACATGATATGATTGTCATGTTTTAATATTTGGGTGAGATAGTTTAATGCCATTTTTGGGTGAGAGAGTTTATATGGATACCATTCAAGTTTTCTTTTGGCAATGTTCTGCCAAGATGATATTTCCTTTTTGCACTTTGCACAGAACTTAACATCTGATACACTGTCAAGCAACATATTATTTCTTTCTTTAGATTACAAATTGTGTGGTTATTGATGTCAGATAAGTTGAAAAAACATTCCTATTTTGGCTTAGGTGGAGTCTCTTGCACTTGCACCATGTGTGCTGCTTGTTCGTCCTTGGCACTTCTTTGTTTCTATTGTATATAGGATAGGAAGGCCTTGCAAGGTTTCTTTTTCTTCTTTGTTGATAGTTTGATGGATTGCCAAGATACCATGTTAACATGTAAATTCCTGGACTACTTTTTGCCTGTTTATGTGTCACTAGGAAGCAGATTGAGCTATCACTCTAATATAAACCTTATCTTTAGATTTAACTCTACTTTTTCATTTCTGAATTGTGGCACCCCACCTGTTATTATTTTTTGTTGGCTCATGGTGCTATTTCTTTTTACTGTTTCTAAGTTTGTTCTTTTGTTTGAATGTCAGGTGCTATCAACTTGGAAGATGGCAGATGAGGAACAAGCCCTAAGCTCTAGGAAGAGGGTTGCAGGTACCCAAATCAACAAGGATAATCCTGAGCCTGATGATGACGGACCAGAGCAAGAGATGGGTACATTTAAGAAAGCTACTGAGGAAGTTATGGCAACCCGGAGAATTGTAAAGGTTCGGCGCCAGCAGACTTCATCAGCTCCTTCTTCTAATCCTTTCTCTGCAATCAGATTTGCCCCCACTGATTCTGATGCTCAAACAAGTGCCCCTGTCCCAGAGGCCCAACCTTCAGATGTCAAAGCTGATGAGGGAAGTAATGGTAATGGGAAAGATACTTTGTCTGTGCCAGACAAGAATGCAGGCTCTGGTGTAAATACTGACTCCGGTGCCACAACTGAAGCACCACCGCAACCTGTTGAAACCAGTGACAAGGCAGAAGACACAAAGGATGAATCTGGTGGAGACAAAGTGGTAGTTGCAGAACCCAACGAAGGTAGCTGCATGCCATCTGAAGTTGAGGGCAAACCAAAAGAGGACGATGCTGAAGAAACAGAAGGGGCAGATGAAGCTGGGAATAATGATAAAATTAGCAAGGATGATACGGCGAAGAAAGATGGAGGTGAATCAGAGACCAAGGATGGCCTGTCTGATGAGCAAAGAGATGCTGATAAAATTGGCAAGGATGATACTGAGAAGAAAGATGGAGGTGAATCAGAGCAGAAAGATGCTGATAACAAAGGGCAGGCATCATCAGCGACACCCCTTTTCTCGTTTAAGAATCTGACAAGTGGTCAAAATGCTTTCACAGGTCTGACCGGAACTGGATTTTCAAGCACATCATTCTCGTTTGGCTCAGCCTCTAAAGATGGCTCAAGTGCTGGTCCCCTATTTGGGCTGAAAGCTGATGGTTCTTCGTTCCCTTCTTTTAATCTTGGTGCTGCTAACAACGGGAGTTCCGCCACAGCGCTTGCTACTTCAGCAGAGGCACCCAAGAAATTTGCTATGACCGAGGGCCCTGTTGAAACTGGTGAAGAAAATGAGAAGGCTGTATTTACTGCTGATTCTGCTTTGTATGAGTACCTAGATGGGGGCTGGAAAGAAAGAGGAAAAGGTGAACTGAAGCTGAACGTCCCTGTATCTGGCGGTGAGAGAGCCCGGCTCGTCATGAGGACAAAAGGCAACTACCGGCTGGTCCTGAATGCAAGCCTCTACAACGACATGTCACTCAAGGACATGGACAAGAAGGGCGTGACATTTGCCTGCATGAACAGCATTGGGGAGTCACCGAGCAGCCTTGCCACATTTGCTCTGAAGTTCAAGGACACAGGCACCAGGGAGGAATTCAAGGATGCGGTGGAGTCTCACAAGACAAGCAAGGAACCGGACGCGCCGCTGAAGACGCCCGAGAACTCTCCGAAGGCAGCAGAAGTCTGAAGCTGCACTCAGTCACGCTTACTCGTCCTTTGTATGTGTCCAGGAAGGAGCCGATAGATACTTTCTGTTATTATTGCCGAGTTCTTAAGAATGTCGCGTCATGACATGATGTCCTGAGTTGAGTTGTGTTTGCATACGGTTCCCTGGTGCTGTTTTTGGAACAGTGGGTAGCCTGTCGAACTTTCATTATTACATACAGTCATATAATCTTAGAATCCTGGAGATGAGACTCGTTACATATGTTTGCTCGTGTTGTGCTCCGTTATGTTCTATTCTATCGGTTAAGCTATCCTGGAGATTATTATGTCTTGAATGAATGAATGTATGCAAATTATGCGTGTCCTGGTTATTATATTCCACCGAGGGCTTATTTGCATGCACTCATGTTGAATTGAAAAATTAACTAATTTCTATCCTAATCCACTCTAATGGGCCTTTGTTGAACAAGGCCTTTTTTTTATAAGCTGATCGAGACAGACCAGGTTGTAAAGATCTGTAATCAGAACGAACTTGTTAGAGCCACTCTAGCGAGGATTCAATTCAGCACACTAAACACACCAAATTTAAAAACATGAGAACCGCAGGAGCTCAACGCCATTGACAGCGTCCACGTCATCCCGATTCTTTTTTACCGTCCGATCTGTGATCCTACGGCTCCTATTGCTTGAATCTGCTTCTATCTGGAGCATCTTCTTGTGGCCTCCGCTTCTGGCCTGGCTGCGTCCGGCGTCGAGGGAAGCGGCATGGGGGCGTCCTGCGGCGCTGCGGCTCCTCGCCTTGCCACGCGCCGGTGCCTGCGGTCTGTGCTCCGGCCCCGGCATCGGCATCGGTGACCACCCGGTCTTCCCCGGTTCCGTGCTCCGGCCCCGGCGTCGGCGACCACCCGGTCTTCCCTAGTTCCTGAACGGCGCCCCCACGCTAGGAGAGGGACACACCGACCAACAGCCTAAAATGAGTATGTCCACTGGTACTCACGAGTAGCAAGTCGACAATTTTTTTTTTTTGGAGCATGTACACCTATCACAAACGCTACCGACATACTACCTCTGCAATATGATGCATGCATGAAGCAAGTTTATCCAGTATGGAATTTGAAAACCAGGTTCTACGACAACAATCATTGGTTGTTGCATCAGCTGATGACGATTAATCAAAAGAGAGAGAGAGGTACGGAGTACATTCTATAACATGCAAACTTTGCATTCACATTTTTTTTTTCTTTCTGGGCTGTACTCATGTGCTATGAGAAAGTCTCACAAACTAAAAAAAAATGATACATTTAGATTGGAATGCAAGATTGCCACCTTGGAGTCAGAGATCCAGTTGCTCTGCAGTAATTCGGCACTAGCTGTTCAGGTCGTAGTTACTCCTGAAATGAATCAGAGAAAAGTAATCGAGGTAAATTTCCTTGAAGTGAACTTTGGGAAAACACTACTTGGGAGCATTAACTATTTGATAAGTAAAAGATTTGCATTAAATTTTCTGTCTGAAACCTCATTCATACCATCTTGAACAAGTTAAATTAGTCAATGTATATGCTATAAATTTTACATGGCAAACATTTATATAAGATATTGCAAAATCTCATTCAGATATCACAATAGTGTGCACATATGCCACGATGCAGGAGCAGGTGGTGGTTCCTCCTGTAAAGAATCTAAGCAAACAAAGATCATTGATGGATCGACAGCAAGTCTGTTCCCTGCTTTAATTTTTTAGATAGTATTAATGTGACAAACAAGTTATGTGTATCAAAGACACAGACAGTAGTGAAGCATACTGAAGATTGATTTCTCACCAAACCATGACGCCTGATTAAAAGTTTGGTGGAAGATAGGAGATTTGATGACAAAAATCCACTGCAGCATGCATTGTCTACAAATCACTCCTACACTGGCATTCATTTGAAGCGAGAAGACTGAGATATTTGATCGAATCATCCAAACAATTAGGTCATCAGTTGAGGTTGTTATCCACATTGCATACCACTTAACCATTTCAGTGACACAAAACAATGTTGGCAAGCAAGTAGTCGAGAAACTCATCACCTGCGTACATTAATTACAGGGTGCAGAAAATTCTTGGTTGTCGACAACGTCAACTCTCTTCTACTTATTACAAAACACTCTTAAAGCTACCAGTTCATTAAGTAAAGGAACAAATCACAGCCGGACCTGGTGGATGTAAGTTCTCCATCCAAACTTCTTTTAGAATGAGTTAAGGTTCTTATCTGAGGTTGCAGCGTCAAGTTTGACCTCGTGGTCCACCATACAGGCCACTGGTAGACTGGTAGAGCACAATGTGGTAGTGGTTAAGGCCATAGTTCAAGCCTCCCATTGAAATTAAAAGATGAAAATGCTTAACGATGTATTTTTGGAATCATTGTAGTTCTCTACGAGGTTTCTGGAAGTTGACAAGAAAACAGTTGATCTGGTCAGTAATGAGGAACTGAAGACCAGTGCATCTGTTAAGCATCTTTCTCTTCCTTAGTCCTCTGCTCCTTAAGGTTCCTTCCTGTACAGAGTAGACTTCGTTTCTTTGCAAGGTTGGCATGACCAATAGTACTATTGTTGCCCTTTATATATTTAATAGTTTACTGAGATTGCTTGTTCACAGATCTACTTATTGGTCGATGAAGACATTGGTGGAGTCAAATCTAACAGAGAAAAAGACCTGAGGTATTACTTACTATTTTTCATGAAACAATATGTTGCATATTCATTTTAATTTGTCACCGCTGGTGATTTTTTTGTGGTATTGGTCTAACATTTTTTATTACCTTACTCTTTGCAGCCATGTTATTGTCCCTGAACTTGGCCTAAGCACCAAGTTCGCATACGCTTCACACAAGGCTGTCTCTGAGTACAAGGAGGCAAAGGTGGTATGTTGTTGTAACAACAGCTGTTTGTAATTTGGTTCATTTATCCTTCTCATCATAGTTTGTTTGTATGGCTGCACGGTTTAGTGACAGGGAAAAAAATGCAGCAACTGATATTTATGTCTCCAGCTATTTGACATATGATTTGACATAATTGTTTGCTTAGAACACACTTCAGCTGTACTGAACCTATGGCTTATTTGAATCCTTGACTGGCCGTGCCGCCGGGCAGCACACCCTTTGCTGGTTGCGCCGCCGGGGAGCGCGCCCCTAGGGTGGCTGCGCCGTTGGAGAGCGCACCCCTGCGCCGGCCGCACCTCCAGAGAGCTTCGCCCCTAGGCCGACCGTGCCACCGAGAGCTTCGCCCCTAGTCGGAGGATGAAGAAGAGGGCAAAAGCCACATTTTCCCACATTCTCTTTCTTCAGATCCGAGAAAATGAATAAAATAATGTGTGTGGTGCAAGGACAAAATAACTGGTTTTTGTAATGGCACCGGGCAAATACACGAAATAGCAGTATTGAATAGCCAATTCCATCTAGCAAAGGTGTCCGCCAGTAAAATTTGCCTTAGGCCCTGTTTAGTTCCACTCCAAAATGCCAAATTTTTCAAGATTCTCCGTCACATCGAATCTTTGGACGCATGCATGAAGCATTAAATATAAATAAAAAATAAAACTAATTACACAGTTTAGACGAAATTCACGAGACGAATCTTTTAAGTCTAATTAGACTATGATTGGACACTAATTGCTAAATAACAACGAAAGTGCTACAGTGGTATTTCGCCAAAAATTTTGACATCTAAACGGTACCTTATTTCATTCGCCAAATCTACTTAGGTGTCATTTGGATGACGTGGGATTCTAAAAATCCGGATTATCTAGCATGAAGGGGATTATGAGATTTTTAAGACCATGTGTAATAAGACTGAGAATGTATCTTACTGTCTTCCTTGTTTGGATGGTGTACAATTTTTTTTTATAAGAATCCCAGAATCTTTAACCTATTCAAACGGGTCTTAGTGCCAGCACATGCCCACAGTTACGCATGGGTATTTAACTAGCTTTTTTACACGTACATAAGGTCCGGTTTGTCTCCAAAGATATTTTAAGAATATATATATGAAAAAAAAATCTAATATGTTTTACTAGATTTTGTGTCGATATCTTAAAATCCATTAGAATCTTGTTTGTTTGATAGGACTCTAGGATTCTGAGAATTTTTTTGTTTAGATTCTTAAAATACCTTAGGAATCAAGACCTAAGTCACCCCATTGACATCTCACGCGCGGAATCTGCCTTCCGCATTGACTGTAACAAAAACAAACATCACTGTTACCCAATACGTGGAACTCTTCAACTGTGAAATGTTTGACGATGATTAAACTTTTTCCCAGGGCTTCAAATTTCTATCTATGTCTCGTGGTCCCTATGACATAAAGTATAAAACTCGCGTGTTTCCCGGTAGACACAATTCATCTTGGTTCTTTGCGTGTATACAGCATATGGTGTGAGTGTGGAGTATCTAAATTATATCCGATCGAAAAAACAAGAAGTGCATTACAGTTTTGCATTTTGGATGCATGGAAACAGAAAGACCCCATAATAAGATTTCTTTTTAAACTAGAATAGAAAGAAGAAAAGAATGAGCCAGCCCAGCCTCCAGAGGCCTGGAAGCTGGTCGCACGTGCAAGGCCTCCGGGCTGGATTCCCAAGCCACACGCCTTCCCCTTACTACCGATTTTTTTTTAGCCTTTTTTTGAAAAAATTTCACAAATATGTCCCTGGAGGTATGCTTTCAAAATCTGGATCCTTAGCTCGGCGTCATCATTAGTGGCGCCGAGCTTACACGTCACGGCGTCATAGATTTTTGGCGCTTAGGTCTTAGGCTCGGCGCAGACGTGGCGGTGACTTGACAGGCACCTTGGCGCCGTAGATCTTGGCGCCGTGGTTATTGGCGTCAAGCCCTGTCTTACGTATGGGCCCTTCCTTTCTCTCTTCCTCTCTCTCTTTACCGCTCTTGAGCCAGGGCACCGCCAGCGCTGCCGCGCGTAGCCCGCGCCGGCCGCCCGCTGCCCTAGCCCGCTCGCGCCGCCTCGCATCAAATGTAGAAGGTAGACAAT